GGGGGGGGGGGGGGGGGGGGGGTTCCAAGTTTGTTGGTAGGGTCTTTTTATAAATAAAATACTGCTTACTGATTGATTGATTGATGGGTCGATTTGTCGTTTTTACGGCAACTGAAAACAAATCCTGCCTGAAACCATGTCGTTTTCTTGCTTCAAGCTACAGACTACAGTTTTCTGTTTCAAAACAAATCTCCACCCTTCGATCTTACCTTCTGATCACGTTTCTCTTGATTTGGACAACCATCCAACGGCTGAGAATTCGGTAATTGTTTGTTTTTATTTCTTAATTTTGGAAACATTTTGAGAAATTATTATTGTTACTATTACTCAATTTAATAAAAATTACATTCAAAATTTAACCTAAGCTATAAAAATGAATTTTAAAAATTAAATTTAAATATTTGAAACGACGTAAACTAATATTTTAACAAAAAGAGCATCAACCTTAAATATTTAAACGAGAAAATAACGACGCGAGCTCGTTGTCTTAAAATATTAAATTTAAATATTAAAAAAAATGAGCGCGCAAAATATACAAAAATTCAACATTAAATAAGAAAAAAATGTAAAATAAATAATTACCTTAAATTAATTCATAATGGTTTGACTTTGACTTTGTTTAATAACCAATTAGATTTATATTTTATATCATAATAAAATATTAGAATTTTCAACCAAATTTCAAACCCTAAATTTTATTTAAAATTTATATTTTATCTAAAAAAATCTAAAAATTACTTCAATATTTTAGTTAGTTTTGGATGTAAACTTTATTAATATTTTTTTTACTTAAAAAAAATAAAGTTAAAAAATAAATATAGTTTAAGAAACCTATAAAAATTTTAAAATAGTATTAACACTCTTAATTTTTATAAAAAAAAAAAATAATAATCTAATGTTACTTTTAAAAATTATTTTTAAATTTTTTAAAAATATTTGAAGGTGATTTTGAGATATTTAATAAAAATTAAAAGGGTTAATGAAAGTTTTAAAATTTGTTACATATATAATTAAATTAAAACCACAAATTTATAATTTAAAAATATGATATATTAATTTAAAAAGTTTAGATTCAGTTTTGACTTAGCAATTTAATTGAATTGACCAATGGAATTAAGAACCTTGGAAAAGTCAAGTCAACGCGAGGTAGATTAGATTAAGAGAATAATAATCTGATTAATTAATTTTTTAAAACATAATTAAGAGTAAATTAGTACACGTGTTCCAAAAACCACCCTGATTAGTGAAAGAGGGTTTTGAATTTAACAATGTTTAACCCCGTCTTTACATTGTGATTAAAGGCTACCGACTTCCGATTTGTCGGTTCAAAAGGTTTTCGAATTACAAATCTTGGTCGTGGAATAATAATATGTAATTATATAAATTATAATCACCATTATCGTCCTAATTAATTAAGGTTAAGGCTAAGTCAAACACCCACGTGGCAACTCCACCATTTCGACATGTCGTTTTCATTTGATGCCCCCCGTATGACTCTCATTAATTAAACCAACCAACTTCCATTCCATTTGACTTACCCAATAAATATATATATATATATATATATTCCACGTGTTTTGATGTGATTGGATAGAGAATGTGTTGGGTCAACGACTGGTCAAATATTCAAAAGACATTGTGAGCTGAAAAAAATCTAATTAATTTAATTGAAAATTAGTTTGTCAAATTTATATTTATTTTTACAATTATATATATACATATCTTTATTTAATTCAATAATTATTTTAGATTTGTATTCTCCGACTTAGTTTAACAACTGTTATCCAATATTTGAGCGATTATTTTCGTGTCATTGTTCATATGTGTTATTTTTCTGTTGTGTCACTGTCAATAATTATTTTTTTATTTGTATTCTCCAACCTTGTTTAACAACGGTTATTCAATATTCGAGCGATCCTTTCCTTAAATTCATACGTGTTTTGGTGGGTCTTAGTATAATGGATTTGTCTAAAAGTACACGTACTCGTATTTTCGTGTCATTATCCTTGGTTTCGCTTCGATTTATCTAAACATGATCAAAATGGGTTGAAGTATTTGACGTGGAGAAATATAATTTTTCAAAAATATATATAAATAATATATGTTTTTTATACTATTGTTTTAGTTTTAGTAAGAATAAAATTTGAATTTTTATTATTTGATAAAGATTAGTTGGATTAATAAAAATTTAAAATTAAAAAAAAAAAAAGAATTAAAAAGTTTAAAATGCACTTTTGATGAGATCGAAAAAATGTGAAAAGCTCCCGTCCAGAAAACATGGAGAGAGATAAAGCACGAGTAAAGTGAGAGGATGATGGGCTGGGCTCAGCCCGGCCCAGTTTGTAATTAAATATATATTTTTTTTATTTAAATAAAAGCAAATTCAAGGCCCGGTCAAAAAGAGAAGTTCCAGGATTCGCTCCTGGACCATTTTCAGATTATAAATAAAATTAATACTTTATTTTATTTCGGAAGATAGGAAAGTACAGTGATATTATTATTTAAGATATTCCACTGTTTTTTAATACTTATTTAAAAATTATCTATTTTAAGTACAAAATTGGCTTTAAAATAAGATGAATTTGTGGAATTTATTTTAATATATGTTAAAAAAATGGTAATAATCTTATTTTTTAAAGAATTTTAGGGATCCGTCGTGAGCAAAATTGAAAATTCATGAACACCATCAATTTGGCGTGCGAAAGTTTGAGCCTTTGGTTTCAAATCTAGGCACTGGACCATTTAAATTGGGTGAAGTGAGCACGATGAACTATTCTAAATAACAATATTTAGCGGTTAGAGCTTGTTCACGTATAAAAATCTAAGAATATTATGATATGAGTTATCAAAAGATAGAATAAGGAATTTCTTCAAAATAAAATCAAAAGTTATTGCTCCTAAATTAGTCTCTTCCTTGACCTCAACTTCTAAAAGGAGCGTGTGCATTGTGTCACAGTCATGCTCGTCTAGGGTGTATTGCCTGTGGCCGCATGCTCATGCCACGCCAAACTCTTTATATCACGCTAAGCCCTTTATTTGATTTCATGTTATATTGTTTTACTATTGTATCTTATGTTGACCATTTAGCGATAGCAATATCATGTCTAGATTTGCCAACTTTGAATCGCCTCGAAATGTATTGTAAGAAGATGCGTCGAGTTGTCAATTCTTCTTATCCGAGTTATATGATATTTAAGTTGTGGTGTTTTTTCTCTTTACTTGTAGCACTTTCAAACTATCTTTCAATCTTGCTTTAAACTCTCTTTCAAAAATCTCTATACTTTAATAAAACATTCTTCCCAAAACAAGGTCAAAGGCTCGAGCATAGGTTGCTCGATTGTAGGCAACGTGAATCCAAATTGATTTAACTCACTCGGTGTTATAAGAAACAAAATTAAAAAAATTAAAACTACATACAAGCATAATCTTGGAAGTTGATGTCAAAAACATTATTCAACTAAATTGATTAAACAAATATAACACTCAAAAATTATAAACATTAATTTAGTATTTTTACTTTAAATTTGGTAATGCTAAGTCCATGCTGTAAAAATTATAGTTTGAATTTAATAAAAAAAAGTTCACACAGGTAAATTAATAAACTAATTATGGACCCAATAAATTTATAAGCTACAAAGCTAAATAAATCCAAATTCGTGGACTTAAATTGTTATCGCTATAAAGAAGGAATTTCATATGAAATGATTTAGAACTATTAATACTTTATTAAAATATTTTTCATGTCTGTAAACTTTTATTACAAGATCAACAGTACTTTAGTGACCCACAAAAGCCTCAAACTCAAAGACTATCAAAGGTTCAATCTTGATTTAACTAAGATCAATGGCGAATTCGAGAATAAAACTATAGAAAGGAAGGCAAGCGATGCAGTGAAATGAAAAAGAAGACCATCAGATTCTCCAACATAGGCACAGATGATAATGGAAACTTACGCGGCTGCCGTGATGCATTCAATGGCCTGCTTGCATATACCAGTCATGGTTGCTTCAGGGCCATACACCTACAACAGAACATGGATGAAATATCAGTACTGAATGTTAAAATGCATCAAAAGTTGAGGTAAAACGAGGTGTTCGAGGGTGGTACCTCGATTGGAACGCCTAGTTCTTCTCCGAGTGCTCGCATTTTTGCCAACCCCCTCTGGTAGTTTGGACCTCCTCTCCTTACATATATATTCATTCTTGCTGCTTTAAGCTTTGCTTCCTGAACAAGTTCAGATGTTTAGCTGCCAATGGGGGAAAAGAATTATGGTTTGTTTTGGAACTTAAATACTAGATCTTACCTTCTCCTTCAAGGCCCTAATTATGCCGTTAAAAGTAGCAGCTACGTCGGTAAAGTTAGCTATTCCTCCTCCAATCACAAGCGCTCTACTACGACCATCGGGATCTGCAGTTGCACACTACCAAAAAGACGAAAGGGCCTTAGTATGAAACTTTGCTCGTCATTGGTATCACGATGAACGAGTAATTCTGATCATCTGTTCTTAAGGTGGATAAGAGTGCTTACATCAATTACAACTCTAGCATACTGCAAGACCTCCTCTTCATTTGGTGCTCCACTGTATTCAGCATAATTCCCTAGCTCAGAGGCGTAACCAAGATCTCCAACCTTATAGAAATAAGAAAGTTTCATTAGTACGTAACAACAGGACACGGAGTTAAGAGGACTCGATCTTGCAAGTGTACCGTGTCTGCATATATGACACTTGCACCTCCTCCAGCAACCATGGTCCATATTCTTCCTTTTGGGTTCAAGACAGTGAATTTCAATGATGCACTAGTCTGCAGGTAAAGTAAATGTAAATACATATCATCTGAATTCAATTCAATCTTAGAGAACTGGATAGTTAGGAATCGATGTGTATTGTGTCAGTGTCATGCTTGTTCAAGGCATGTTGCCCAATGATCGCATGCTTGTTGCATGCCAAAACCCTTGTGTTGTATCACTTTATTGTTTCTTAAATGTATTTTCTAAGTGTATGACGTTTCGACAAAATCATGTCTTAAATGTATTTTTTAAGTGTATGACGTTTCGGCAAAATCATGTCTATGCTAATAGACCTGAAATGCCTCAGAATGTACTATAGGGGGGTGCGACTAGTAGTCAATTCTTCCTACTCAGAGTTATATGCTACTAAGTCGTTGTGTTGCCTTTTACGCCTGTAGCCTATAACATTGCTTTCTTCATTTCTCTCAATCTTGCTTTCAAACTCTCTTTCTAAATTATCTATTTACCTCAGTTTTCTATAATCTTCTTAAAACGGGGGTAGAGGCTTGGATATACGTTATCTAGTCGAAGGCGACACGATTTCAAGTTGGCCGACTTACTCAATGGTGAGAGCGAGTGCCATAAAATCGCTTACAAACGTTCTGTATGAGCACAATTGTGACACATTGGACTACATGATTTCACCTCAGCTTTGGAATATTTAATATCCTTGATTCAAAACAGAATCCTCAGAGTTCTCTATCAGAACTCAGATATAAAAGTGTATAGGAAAATGTGGATGCCGGAGAACTATTAACGCGGATAAATCTTACTTCTAACATAAAAACAATCGCTTTTCAGAGATGAAAGTAGGAAAAGATTCTTAAGACGTTAGTAGAAAAATGTATAAACCCTTTCTGACCTTTTCGTCTAGGCCATGAATAAAGCTTTCTGTTGCATTCATAACCCTTCCAAATGGTAACGGAAACTCGAGATCACCCCACCTACAGAGATAATGCAGTTTATGATGACAATATATAGTATAGCTCATGCATTAAAAGAATTAATAGTATTGAAAAAAAATCACATCATCTGTTTTTTAAGCAAAGAAAAATGTTCTTACTTTTTGAAGTTCTTAAAAGTAGCAGTATCATCGAGTTCGCCTCTCATGTCCAATGGATAAGGCTTCCCATCAACCAATGTGAAGGGATTCATTTCCAGAAAAGTGAAGTCCAAATCTGCAAATATGGACTCAAGAATTGAGATGGAGTTCTACAAGCTGCCAAATTTATCTTTTCCAGAATTTCCAGTATCAGGAAAAAGAATAAAGTAGAGCACCTTGAAATAGAGCAAAAACAGACTTGATAAAGTCCTCAATTTCCCCCTTGATCTGGATTAAACAAGTAAACTTCATGTCAACTCTTTACAGCTATAGTGAGCACAAAAAACTACGGTACGATGAAGTTCATTCAGGGTTCCGGAATCCTATGCTAGAACAATGAGCAGCATGAATTTGAATTAGAACTGTTTATGCTGAAAATACCTCTAAAGGAAGTGTGGCAACAAGTGGGGCGCACACTTCCGATGTAAGGGATGCTCCTGTCGGAACAAATATGGTCTTGACCTACACATAGCATCACGAATTAGGAAAATAAAAGATCATGTGATGGAGAAAGAACGAACTCTAGTTTCTAAGCACTCAGCCATACCTTATCCCAGTTCTCTTCAATATCAATTCCTCCACATTCTGAAAAGCTTAGACTACAGCCAAGCCTTTCTGAGACAATATTCAGATAGAATTCTTCCTTGTGTGGGATGAAGGGCTCAACGATAAACGTCGTAATGGGTCCTTTACATCCGCCCATCTCCACCTAGTGAGGAATTAAAAACAGAAAGGAATAATGTACTCCCTAAAACAGAAGAAATAATGTAAAATGAACTAAAATGATGAAGAAGAACAATAGAAAGTAGATAATAGTACCACTTTCCCTAGGCGTTCCTTAACAAAACTATTTACTTCAGCAAAATCTAGGTTTAGTGCAACTAAACCGCTTTTACCACGCTTTCCAAACAACATGTCAGGCTTCACAACCAATTTAGACGATGACAGCCACGGTTCCTTCTCAACTAGCTCGTTGAAATCGGTTGAATCTCTGATCTAGTATGTCGAAAATGAAGCATTGTTGCAAATGAAACAAAATTAGATACAATCTAGATTGTGATTTTATATGATATTCAAAACTTTCTTAAATTTCTGGTCTCATCTCGTCGACAGACATTAATTGAAGTAATGGCGCCAATTTTCCCCAAGAAATGTGAAACAGAAGAGTAAACCACAGATCCAGAGAAGCAAAACGTAACTCAAAGGATCCTACATCTCCATTAGCGGCGAAGAAAAACAAAACTCACCTGAGCTGATTTAATCGGTAAATCACGGCCAGAAATTCTTTTGAAGTGCTCCTTCAACAGTCTCTTCGAATCGTACTCTCTGATCTTCTTGCGCGCCATTTCTTAAACCTAGATTGCAGCAGAGAAGAAATCCATTAGCAAATCGCGAAAACAAAACATGAAACCAACCGTATTCAACAAATTGCTTAAAGATCATAAGATCTGAACATGCAGAAAATAAGAAAACCCGATCAGAAACAGGAATCAGAGAGAAGGTAGAGAAATCCTTACGGATTGGTGGTGAGTTGGGTTAAACTGCGATCTAATCGAGATTTGAAGTTGAAATCTACAGATTCAACTGTATATGTATTTATAATCGTTGAATATGATAAAAAAATTGGCATTTTTCCTTCAACAAGCAGCAAATTTATAGTCACGTTCTGTACCTACCACACCAAACAACTGAACTAACCCTTCCTTGACAGGTAATTTTCATTTATTTCCCCAATATAATAATTTTACATTTTTCCAGAAAAAATACCAATAATTCAATATGTTTTTGCATTTTCCTTTTATTTTATTTTTCGTTAATTTTAAAATATTTTGAAAAGGAAAACTAAAATAGTATAAATTATGGTTAATTAATAAAAATATTCTAAAATTTTCAATAACATCCTTACATTTTAAATAAAATTTTAAAAATAATCCTATTATTAATTTAAAAAATATCCTTAAACTTTTAATAATATTTTAAAATTTTGGATTTTAATTTTTTTTATTAATACTCTTTCAATTCTTATTTTTACTATAATATTTAAAAATTATAAATTTTAAAAATAGTATTAACATTTTGAACTTTTATAAAATAAATTAATATTTTTTAATATTACGTTTGAAAGTTATTGAATATTCTTTTTATATATCTGATAATAAAATATTTCATAACTTAAAAATAAAAACTTATATTTTTTATATATTTTTTTAAATGAAGTATTTTTGTAATTTAAAAAAAAGTTAAAAGAGTATTAATGAAAATTTTTAAATTTCAATATTTTTAAATTTTTTTTTTTTTTTTTTGGTTTAAAGATATTTTAAAATTTTAAATAAGGTACCAAATTAACTACATTTGTATTTGTATTTTTATAGCTTAAATTTTAAAGGTAGATTTAGTTTGAGCCAACCTATTATGGTAGGAAGTTAAATTCATCGTGCCAGCAAGACTATTCGAAATAGTTGACTTCTCGAGAGAGTTGACTTTTTTTTTAAGAATTTTTCATCTGATTTTCAATTAATAGAAATTGAACCGAACTTATCGATCTTGAGCATTGTATGACTGAACCTAATACACTCGACCGTAGATGTTGACAACAAAATGAAGACATTTTAGAGTCACATGTAATTGAAGATCGCGTTTCGTTTTCACCAACCACAGGTTAAGATATACATGGCTTGAAATTACGTTCAAATTATTTAATATTTTTACTTATAAAATATATATATATATATATATATATATATATATATTATGTTTTATATTTTTAAGTAGAAGTTATATTAAAAAATAAAAAAATAAAAAAAGAAATATGTTGTTTAAATTATATAAAAAATGGTTTACTGTAAAAATAAAGGAAGAATTTTGTTACCACACGTGTGTTTATTTCTGTGTGAAACGTGAAAATTGCTTTGCACGTGGGAGTTTTAGAAAATTTTAGAGGAAGAAAATGAAAATCTAAAATAGAAAAAAAAAATAAAAAATAAAAAAAAGAAGAAAGGGAAAGAATTCCTACTGGCCTTCTACGGCTTGCCACGAGCTTGTTGGGTAATTTCATTCATCCCCCAATTTGATTCTCATCGCAATTCTGATTTGCAGCGGAATTATTGGATCAGGTATTATTTTCCTCGATTCTTCATTTCGTGATCTATGTTTCGTGGGTTCCTTCTAATGTGGCCGATTGATTTTGTCTGGACATAGGGTCGTACAGACCTTGGGGAACGAGGAAATTTTGACTGAAAACTTGTGGCTCAATTTGAAGACTTGAATTTCTGGAGTATATTGACAAAAAAGGTTGAATAATGGACGGTATGGAGCTGTGGAAGGTTCAGGTGGATCAATTGAAGGTCCAGATGGAGCAATGGATGGAACAAGGTTCGGAGATTGTTCGCCAAATTCCCCCAATTCAACTCTACGTTGGAGTTGGTGTGTTGTTATTGACGACTCTACTTCTCTTATTCAGTGAGTCTCCTCTTTATCTGATAATCGCTTTCTGTAATTGTATATCGCGAAGAAATTTGGAATTTGAAATTGATTCCCCTCCGCTCTGCAGCTCGCTTGTTCAAGGGCAGAAAATCGAATACTGTTGTACTTAGTGGGCTCAGTGGAAGTGGGAAAACTGTTCTTTTCTATCAAGTAAGCCTATGCATTACTGGTTTGTTCATTAAAAGAACCTGCCCTGTTAATTTATCGAGAATTTGACAACTTGAAATGATTGGCCTGGGATATTTGATTCATTAGTCTTTAGCTGTGAGATCCCTCATCGGTTGGAGAGGGGAACGAAACAATTCTTATAAGGGTGTGGAAATTTCTCCCTAGTAGTTGCATTTTTTTTTTTAAAACGGTAAGACTGATGATGATACGTAATGAGTCAAAACGAATAATATTTGCTAGCGGTGGGTTTGAGCTGTTACAAATGGTATTAGAGTCAGACACCGAATGGTGTGCTAGCGAGGATGCTGCGCCCCAAGGGGGGTGGATTGTGAGATACCACATTGGTCAGTTGGAGAGGGGAAATGAAACATTTTTTATAAGGGCGTGAAAACCTCTCCCTAGAAGACGCGTTTTAAAACCGTGAGACTGACGACGATACGTAGCGAGTCAAAGCGAACAATATTTGCTAGTGGTGGGTTTGGGCTGTTACATTTGCATACTTCGTTTACTTTTGTTCGAATTGAATGATTAAGCCTTTTACGATATGAGTGATATGAGTTTATGCATTAGTTGTGTTTCTGCACCATCTCTTCAAGAAGTAGCCTTAAATGCACTAATGTTATTTTGGAACTCTGTCCCCTTTGCATATAAGAATGCCCCTTCTGTTCTCGACCTATTCTTCAAGGTCTGTTAAGAAGTTTGTAAAACAGTGTCTGTGCACGCCTTTGGCTTTGTGTTATGGATCACGGTGTTTGATGTACTCGACATTTCAAAGTTTAATTTAATGATTGATTGGATGCTGATAATGTTATGTATAATTGAAGACGAAGCATAAATCCTATTGGGTTTATGGTGATGCTCTATAGCTTCTTAGATGTTCTGCTATCATTTATGATGTTTTTATGCCTTTGCAGCTTCGTGATGGTTCTTCTCATCAGGGTACTGCTACATCAATGGAACCCAATGAGGGCACTTTTGTGCTTCATTCTGAAATACCGAAGGTAATTTGTTTTCTCGAACGGATTTTCAGGAAATTAGAATATGCTCGACTTCTGATTCATTACTGCTTTGAAACTAATACGAACAACGCTGAGTGGTTTCTGTTTTCAGCAGTCTTTAACATTTTTCTTACATTACTTGATCAGACATAAACTGACAGATATTTTTCTCTTTGTTTGCCTCGGTAGAAGGACAAACTGAAGCCTGTTCATCTTATTGATGTCCCTGGACACTCTCGTCTTCGAGCCAAACTAGATGACTTCTTGCCTCAAGCAGCTGGTGTAGTCTTTGTGGTGGATGCTTTGGATCTTTTACCCAACTGTCGTGCAGCCTCAGAGTAAGGGATTAGTCCTCTCCGACTTTTTCTTCACAAACACCCTCTCCAGTCCAGTTTTCACACCCTTCCGAGTCCTGCATGGTTGTGTAACACGAGCTCGAGTCTCCCTAGTTCTCACATTCCTCTTCCTGGAAAACATCCTATTTCATAATAGAAAGCATGTTCTTTGCAACATAAGCACTCACGTGTGTCGTGCTCAAGTACACGAAACGAGCTCCGAAATAAATGTCTCACGTCATTTGTTAAATCTAATTCAATCTCTCTTGAAGGTACCTCTATGACATCCTGACTAATGCGAGTGTCGTGAAGAAGAAGATCCCTGTCCTGATACTATGCAATAAAACAGACAAGGTGACAGCCCACACAAAGGAGTTTATCAATCGGCAGATGGAAAAAGAGATGTAAGGCTTTCAACTCTCTCCATAATAGGAGCATTCTTTTCATTATCTGTTAAGCAAACTACTGAAAACTGGACTGGAGATTGTGTTTGTGAGATCCCACGTAGGGAAACGAAGCATTCCTTATAAGGGTGTGAAAACCTCTCTCTAATAGATGCGTTTTAAAACCTTGGGGGAAGCCCAGAAGGGAAAGCCCAAAGAGGACCATATATGCTAGTGGTGGGCTTGGGCTTTTACAAATGGTATCAGAGCTAGACACCGGGTGGTGTGCTAGCGGGGATGCTAGGCCTTCCCAATTATGAGATCCTACATCGGTTAGAGAGGGGAACGAAACATTCTTTATAAGGGGTGGAAACCTCTCCTTAGCAGACACGATTTAAAATCTTAGGGGAAACCCAGAAGGGAAAGGCCAAAAGAGAGGACAATATTTGCTAGCGGTGAGTTTAGACTGTTACAAATGGTATCAAAGCCAGACACTGGGCGGTGTGCCAGCAAGGACACTAGGCCCTCAAGGGGGTGGATTGTGAGATCCCACATCGGTTGGAGAGGGGAGCGAAACATTCCTTATAAACCTGTGGAAACCTTTCCCTAGCAGACACATTTTAAAACCTTGGGGGAAGCCCAAAAGGGAAAACTCAAAGAGGACAATATCTGCAAGCGGTGGACTTAGGCTGTTACAATTATTATCTGCCATACATTGATTATAATGTGATTTCAATTCCCAACCTTATGTCTTCTACGATTGTACAGCGACAAATTACGAGTATCAAGAAGCGCAATCTCAGATGCCGATATCTCGAATGACTTCAACATCGGGGTACCTGGGAAAGCATTTTCGTTCACACAGTGCCATAACAAAGTTTCAGTTGCTGAAGCCTCTGGATTAACAGGTGAAGTATCTGAGGTGGAGCAATTTATAAGGGAAAACGTGAAGTCCTAGAGCCTCTATCTTCGATTCTACATGATGACTGGTACTCTTTTTCCCTTTTCAATATAAACTACAATATTTGTGCTTGAGATTTCCGAATTGCATCCCATTTTTTTGTAGTGCATAAGACCGAAGAAATTGTATGTCCATGCCTTCTTCCCTTGTTGATAAAACACCTTAAGTATAGTGGGAAACAGTCATACAATGTCATAGAAAGCCAAAAAAACGATGTTTGCTTAAATAATAGAATTTGAGATGTTGTTGCTTTGTGTTCTGGTACACTTAAAATCAATAGGTGTCAACCTTGGTTGCTATATTTGTAAATATGACAATTTTGTC